TTAGCCAGTCAGCACCAAAGTCAGCCATCGTATTGAAAACATTGAGATAAGCTATCAAATGAACCTAGAGTAAGAGCCTTTAGCCAGTCAGCACCAAAGTCAGCCATCGTATTGAAAACATTGAGATAAGCTATCAAATGAACCTAGAGTAAGACCCAGTCAGCACCAAAGTCAGCCATCGTATTGAAAACATTGAGATAAGCTATCAAATGAACCTAGAGTAAGAGCCTTTAGCCAGTCAGCACCAAAGTCAGCCATCGTATTGAAAAAACATTGAGATAAGCTATCAAATGAACCTAGAGTAAGAGCCTTAGCCAGTCAGCACCAAAGTCAGCCATCGTATTGAAAACATTGAGATAAGCTATCAAATGAACCTAGAGTAAGAGCCTTAGCCAGTAAGCACCCAAGTCAAAATCGTATTGAAAACATTGAGATAAGCTATCAAATGAACTGAGAGTAAGAGCCTTAGCCAGTCAGCACCCAAGTCAGCCATCGTATTGAAAACATTGAGATAAGCTATCAAATGAACCTAGAGTAAGAGTCTTAGCCAGTAAGCGCCAAAGTCAGCCATCGTATTGAAAACATTAAGATAAGCTATCAAATGAACCTAGAGTAAGAGCCTTAGCCAGTCAGCACCAAAGTCAGCCATCGTATTGAAAACATTGAGATAAGCTATCAAATGAACCTTGAGTAAGAGCCTTAGCCAGTAAGCACCCAAGTCAGCCATCGTATTGAAAACATTGAGATAAGATATCAAATGAACCTAGAGTAAGAGCCTGAGCACCAAAGTCAGCCATCGTATTGAAAAAACATTGAGATAAGCTATCAAATGAACCTAGAGTCAGAGTCTTTAGCCAGTAAGCACCCGGCCAGTATTGAAAACATTGAGATAAGCTATCAAATGAACCTAGAGTAAGAGCCTTAGCCAGTAGCACCAAGTCAGCCATCGTATTGAAAACATTGAGATAAGTTGAACCTAGAGTAAGAGCCTTAGCCGGTAAGCACCCAAGTCAGCCATCGTATTGAAAAAAAAACATTGAGATAAGCTATCAAAATGAACCTAGAGTAAGAGCCTTAGCCAGTCAGCACCAAAGTCAGCCATCGTATTGAAAACATTGAGATAAGCTATCAAATGAACCTAGAGTAAGAGCCTTAGCCAGTCAGCACCAAAGTCAGCCATCGTATTGAAAACATTGAGATAAGCTATCAAATGAACCTAGAGTAAGAGCCTTAGCCAGTCAGCACCAAAGTCAGCCATCGTATTGAAAAACATTGAGATAAGCTATCAAATGAACCTGGAAGTAAGAGCCTTAGCCAGTCAGCACCAAAGTCAGCCATCGTATTGAAAACATTGAGATAAGCTATCAAATGAACCTAGAGTAAGAGCCTTAGCCAGTCAGCACCAAAAGTCAGCCATCGTATTGAAAAAACATTGAGATAAGCTATCAAATGAACCTAGAGAAGAGTCTTAGCCAGTACCCCTGTCAATCGTATTGAAAACATTGAGATAAGCTATCAAATGAACCTAGAGTAAGAGCAGTCAGTCAGCACCAAAGTCAGCCATCGTATTGAAAACATTGAGATAAGCTATCAAATGAACCTGAGTAGAGCCTTTAGCCAGTAAGACCAAAGTCAGCCATCGTATTGAAAACATTGAGATAAGCTATCCAGAGTAAGAGCCTTAGCCAGTCAGCCAAAGTCAGCCATCGTATTGAAAACATTGAGATAAGCTATCAAATGAACCTAGAGTAAGAGCCTTTAGCCAGTAAGCACCAAGTCAGCCATCGTATTGAAAACATTGAGATAAGCTATCAAATGAACCTAGTGTAAGAGCCTTAGCCAGTAAGCACCCAAGTCAGCCATCGTATTGAAAAATATTGAGATAAGTTATCAAATGAACTGAAGAGCCTCTTGGCTGTAAAGTCAGCCATCGTATTGAAAACATTGAGATAAGCTATCAAATGAACCTAGAGTAAGAGCCTTAGCCAATAAGCACCAAGTCAGCCATCGTATTGAAAACATTGAGATAAGCTATCAAATGAACCTAGAGTAAGAGCCTTAGCCAGTAAGCACCCAAGTCAGCCATCGTATTGAAAACATTGAGATACGCTATCAAATGAACCTAGAGTAAGAACCTTAGCCAGTCAGCACCCAAGTCAGCCATCGTATTGAAAACATTGAGATAAGCTATCAAATAATT